ACGTTGTCGTCTTGAAAAAGCGATCGCTCCCCAGGGAACACAGTCTAGGCATGATCCCCTAGAATGCTTAGATAGTGATTGGATGTGATTCTTTCATGCAGAATAAGAAGTGGCTCAAGACCACGCCAAGATATCGCACCCCATACAATAATGGCGTTACCCCCATGCTTCACAGTCGGCAAGAGGCAGTCAAGATGAAACACTTCTTTGGGCATTCTCCAGACATAAACGCGTCCGGTCGTCTGAAATAGCGTGAATGACGATTCATCTGACCATATTACCTGTTGCTACTGCTGTGGGGACCAGCCCTTGTGATCTCTGCACCATTGGCGTCGCTTGAAAGCATTAGTTGCTGTTACCAAGGGTTTACGGATTGCCACTCTGCCATAAAAGTTCGCAGCATGAAGTTCTCTTTTGACAGTTTTTGTTGAAACGGGGTCCTGGACATGACTGTTCATTTCGGATGATATCTCGGATAACGATTGCTTATGCTTTCGGGCTGCTATGCACTTCAAGACCTGTCTATCCCTATTAGGCAGCTTTGACTTGGCCACTGTTGTGCTTAGAAGACGTCGTCTTACCCGCTTTCGTCTACGCTGTCATAAGGGCTGATACCATACTCCTTGCGCACCCCACAAGGTTTGCTGTATCCGTAACCGATGCTCCACTTAAATGCGCTCCAACTATCATTCTTCCTTGGAACCCTGACAGGTCTGACATTTCAACTTGTCCCAGACAGTTCGATCGAAGCTTGCTACGCAGGTGACTGCCGTTGAGAGACTGATATACCTTCCTCTTCACGCTCACTAGGTGGCAGACTTCTGTTGCAGGTGGCTCGGCTGTACTGCAGGTGTCAAATATGTCATACGTTTTCACAGATGTTCTCATTATTTTGTCTTTTATGTGTATGTTAGGTGCAACCAAAACGAAAGGTGCACAACTACATGTTATAGCTGTCCCATATACAAAATTTCAACATTCTGAAGCTACTAGTTTTTGAGTTATGTGACGTACATTCATATACGTACTTACGTACAGACGTCAGGAAAAAAAATCTCTCCTGAATCCATTTTAAATCCATTTTGCAATTCGTGTTTGGAAAAAAAGTCCTTTATTCTGTCCTTAGGTACAGAATGTTGCTCAAAAACATTATTCATATGGATTCGAGAGTGTTCAAAATGAATATTTTCGCTAATATAGGCGCTTTCATAATATTTTAATTAGGAAATATCGAAAGTTTGCTTGTAGATTATTCATAATGTCTTTAATGCAAAAGTTCCTTTGTGAACGATTAACAACGTTCCTGGAAATTCGTTGTCCAATGCTGTACTCTTAATCTTAATATTCGGGGGTACTGCTTGTTGGAAGAGAACTTGCCAAAGTAAAATTAAAAATTAGGGGAAAAAAGCAACCTTATTATAGAGAAAATGTTTTCAGGAAATTAAGAATGAAAATTCTGCACACATTTTTTTTTTTTTTTTTTTTTTTTTTTTGCTTCTAAAGAAAAGAAACCTGTGCCTTAGCTCTTCAAAACTGATACAATTATTGAAGACCTACGTCAAAGTGCAGTAAGATAAACGTCTCTTGCGTCTTAAAAGACAGAGGTGTTTTTTTCTTCCCCAGAATGGTTTTCTCTTGATGAAGGGGGAACCCTTTTGTCCTCGAAATCGATTGGGATTTTATAAAATCTACGCCGAATACAAGTTCGTCGATTTGCCTATTTTACAATCTTTTAGTTAGTTGTAGAGTCATTAGGTTAATTGGAAGCAGAAAAGATGAAAATTATGCAACCGACTTCGCCGGGAATAGAACCAAGGACATCTGGAATACCGGCCCAGCGTGCTACCGTTACACCACAAAAAACACGCTACGGAAGTGTGAGAAATACCTTATATAGTCCCCTTTTTAAAGGTCCACTAGGGATTTAGGGGACCTAGTCGCCAAATCCTGGGTGCGGAGAATCATCATCCACAACCCTTTTAGTTCGAGCGCCACTTGTAGAGTCATTAGGTTAATTAGAAGCACAGAAAGAAAAGATGAAAAATATGCAAACGCCTTCTCCGGAAATCGAACCACGGACCTCTGGAATACCGGCCCAGCGTGCTACCTTTACACCACGAAGGCACGCTGCGGAAGTGGGAGAAATACCTTATAAGTTATATGTATTTTTTAAATTTTTATTAGTCCGAACGGGCTTATCCCTAAGGGACTATTGTTTTCTTTTGCGATTTTGCTTCGAATCACTCTGAACATCCGCTTCACTTTTCAAACTGTTGCCACCAAATATTATCGCCCTGTATTACATTTGAATAAATTAAATAATGAAGAATCTGCATAAATGTATGTATGTTTCTCACACTGTGATAAAACGACGGTACCTAGATCCACCAAATTTCGAATGACGCAATCCTACAGTGAATCTGGATATCTAAAACCCTAAATTTGAAATTTGGAATTTGCTTTATATTCGATTTCATATTATGTAAAACTTTAACGAATTTTTTATTAACAAACTCAAGCATTTCAAAGCGAGCATGGCAACGTTGTACAGAAAAAAGATTTTTATCTCCATCGCGCGAGAGTGTGTATCGGAAATTCTAAAGGGATATGCTCCTTTTGAAATTATTTTGCGATACTGCTTTTGAACTGAATTTTATGGTTTAATTGTGGAGAATATGATATTTAGTAAAGAAAGAGTAACACACAAAATGTTTATAAAACGCCCCTTTGGACGTACTTTAAAATCGGAAGCCTTTCAGATATTATTTTTTTCTTTTTTTAATTATCTGTTTATTTTTGCTTAGTTTATAATGGTTGACTGAAATCAAAACCAAGATGTTTCGCGACTTGCTCCCTTACTTGGCAACATTTCTCTGCGACTTGGCGATTTTTATAATGTATTTTAAATTTATTTGGCGACCTTATATTCCATTTGTGTACTTTATCTTTCATTTGGCGACTTTGCAGCATTTCGGAATTTTGTTTTATAACATTCTGATCACAGTAACCAAGTTGTTGATCAGAACAGACGGCGTATTTTCTATATATTCGTCTACAAAAGGCTGGGACTTCGGCAGTTCAATAACAATATCCGAATCGCAAACATTAATCGATGTCTACTGTAGACAAATAAAAGTTTATATGAATATAACTGCTGACAACTGACCAAAATATACATAGAACATAGAATAAACATAGAATCTGCAAAAGACAATTTAAGAACGAGAAAACGTTCTGAAAAAATTGTTTCAATTGTTTCTGATAAATGGAATATCTCAAATTCATTCTCAGGATAAATTTTAAGATAAAATATAATTCCTTTGAACACGACTGCTCCCTTCATACGAATGACATCAAATATTTTATTATAGAATAAAATTTTATAGCAATGAGAGTTTGATTTTTACTACTCGATTTATAATTTTAGGTCTCTGTTGAAATACATCTCAAACGACTTTTTGTATCGCCGTTAGAGGGCGTTTCTCTTAGGGAAAAAAATGTTAGTTTTTTGTTTACGATGTACAAGTGTAAAAGAATTTCAAATAAAATGGTTATTTTGTAAATTTTTGAAATATTGGCTTCTATTAGTATTATTAAGTATGAAGTTAAAACAAAAATATTTTATTTAATAGTCTATTCTACAGCGCTATGTTATTGATTTAATTCGAGGAATCATTCTCACAGATTTGAACATGTTTCTGATGCTCCATAGAGATCGCGTCATTACATGAGAGTTCTAAATAGAAGCCACTTAGTGATATGACAAATATAATGTGAGGAAGCATACGTCTGTTAAAAGCCCAAGCATATTCTGCATATTTCCTTTAAGATATGTTCTTTGAATATTTCTTGTTATGCCTGTGCATTCGATTTCTGATTTATAAACATCAACTTTGTAGCCAGGACACTTTATTCCATTATCGAACTCTACGGGGGTTCCATCTCATGCTCCGAGACAGTGTTCATAATGAGGCAGAGGTTGAAGTCCACGTTCGTTAAACTTTTCCTTATCTCCTAAATGGAATTTCTATCTATTAGTCGGCACATTCCGTGTAAACACATACAAAAGCTGGCATTGTGAAGAAATTGATTTTTTCCTTAAAGACCGCAGTATAATTGTTCTCAGGTCATTTTAATCCTTTGCATAAGTTGATATGAAGACTTAGTCTTAATTATTACGTCATAATAGATCACCCGATTACACGAAATAAGGATATGCAAACTGTATGCTGTGAATACTAATTAATTCATAAATTTGCCTACTTGAATAGTCGGAGGTTCTCAAAAACAGTATTTTTAAACACATTTATTGCAATTTAACGAAACTTGTTGTAAAAGAGGAAAAAGAATTTTATCGGAATAATTAGAAACTCTTTTAAGTTTCTCTTTCATTGCTTTATAAATTTTGAAGTTTTCTTTTTTTTTTTTTTTTTTTTCCCTTTCCTTCTTTTGTTTTTTTTCCTTTTCCGCCTTGCTTCTTAAGAAAATTAAAAATTAATTTTTAACTAATGAATTTTATTAATTCTTTTATAGTATATTTTTTTCTTTTTATTTTCCCTTATCTTTTTATCTTTTTTCTTTTTTTCCTTGCAGGTTTTTTTTTATATTTTCATGCAAGATTCCCAAAATCTTAGTTTATGAAATGCATTTGAGATGCTTTCACACCCAAAATAGTATATCTTATCTTTATATCTTATCTTATCTTTTTTTATTTTTATCTACAATATAATATCAATTATCTTATCTTTTATATCTTATCTTATCTTTTTTTATTTTTATCTACAATATAATATCAATTATCTTATCTTTTCATAATTTCAACGTATAATTTCAATTATCTTATCTTTTCATAATTTCAACGTATAATTTCAATTATCTTATCTTGTCAATTAAAGATACTTGCAAATTACATGCAATTTTTCAGTTTCTTCCAGTGCATTTACTTATTGTTATTTAACAGCATTTTTAACATGAATTATAAAATGCAATTTTCTTTTTAGATTTTTCTCATATTGAGATTATAGAATCACCTACTGTGAAATTGCATAAAAAGAACAAAACAGCAGATAACCGGTTAAGGGACAAACTACTGCTTCAGCTACATTCCTTGGAGGAAAAGTTTACTCTGGACTTGAAAAGAAATCCTTCTCTTAGTACAACACTGCCAATTAAGAAGAAACCTTGCTTCTACCATGGAAAATCCCGCCAACACAAGGATAGTGTAGCAGCTGTCTCTCTTTGCGACGGAGTGGTAATTCTAATTATTTAGTGGAGTGGTTTCATTATTCTGTTCTAATTAAGCTGAGAATGTCTCCATTAAAAATGCACCTGTTTTCTGTTTTGCATATCGTTCCGGATAGGTTTGCTAAATGTTTATACAGGATGAAAGAGAATTGATAGTTTCAACTGTGTTATGATAGAACATGATTAACCCTTAGAAAAACCTAAGCCTTCGCTAACCTGCATCTTAAAATGCCGAAACGTCCTCCGTCCCTTCTTCCCCTCCCCATCCATTAACGCACAAAGAGGTGTGAAGATGTCAGATGATATCCTTTCTACTTCCTAACAAAGAAGCTTCCATTAGGCTTTTAGGACAAGACGTCTGCAATAAACTGATGCAATGCATTTGGAGAAACTGGATCTGCTAATGCATATCTTAGAAAGAAGGAAGATTATAACATCGCTATCTCGGCTGTTTTGGACAGTTCTGGTCTGTTGAATCAAAGGCTGTCTCGGGCATTTTGGCCTTCAAAGTGTTAAAAGAACAATTTTTGTAATAAACAGTGGTGGTGAAATGGGAAATATGAACACTGAAAAAAAATATGAAGAACAAAAGAACGAAAAGCCGTTTTAATTACGAATATTTACAAGAAATAGTGTTTCATATTTACAATAATTGTTCAAATTAATAAACAGCAACTGCAATGCATGTAACACAACAATTATGGATCCTCGTTGATGAGACGCAATTTGACTCTTCTGAAGACCGTGTCGTCATGTTTAGAGGATTTTTTTTAGAAGTGCGTGATGAGCCGAGCATCTTCCAAAGTGCACGCCAATAACTTCTCCATCGTTGTAATGCATGTATTGCAGCTTCTGATCCTTGAGTCATGTTTAGAGGAGTTTTTGTAGAAGTGCGTGATGAACCGAGCATCTTCCAAAATGCCCGCCAATAACTTCTCCATCGTTGTAATGCATGTATTGTAGCTACTGATGCTTCATTCGAAAAGTTCTTGTAAATATCAAATTTGAAATTTCTTGTAACTAGCGGGATTAAAATCACTTTTGCTCTCTATGTTCTTCGTACTTTTTGTGTTTCCTCGTCCCCATTTCATATTCCATCGCATATTTTACTATGAAAACCTTTACTTTTGCCAAGGGTCCTTCATCAATTAAAGTTGTAGTTGTCAATTCTGTATAAGCAAACTGGACAGAAATAAAATTGACATGTGTTATAAAATTATTTCTACCTTATGAGAAAAAACGTTGGAAATGTGTATTTTAAAGCAAACATCAAAATGTTAAGAATAATTAAACGTTTTGATATTTTCCTCTGTGTTTTCAAATACTGAGTATTTTTATGTGTTAACAGTTCGTATAAATTTGTTATGGACATTTGTGAATAAACATGCCTGTAGCGGTGTGCACTACTATGAGGCATTGTAATGTGACAATCTAACCAAATAACTATCTAGAAATCCTTAATTAAATTCACATGTGCCCAATATTTACTGGCTTGAATTCTTAGTGATCGTACATTGCGAATTATACCCTAGCATCAAGAATAATTAAACATTTTACTTACCCAATAACCCACATGCATGAGACTTGCGGAGACACATTTATTTTTCTAATCTCACATTTATTTTATCAAACACATTTTCTGGATTAACTATAGAACATTTATCACACACATATAAAATATCAAAATATTATAACTTGGAACACAAAAGGAGATAAATTAAAATGGAATAGTAGCTAATGCCGAAACGGGATTATTCGGAGATAGATTACAATCCGGTCACATCGAACATATATGCAGTCACAATTCTCTCATATTAATTTCGTGCAGTGTCCATAATATTGTTGTCCATGTGCAAGATCTTTTTTTTTCACTTTCACTTTCTTTAACACACTTAAAATAATCACGTGGTCACACATCACTGGTAATGTGCATTCTGAAGTCGAACACATATAGATAATCTGCTTGAGATGATTTAGAACGGTATCGTGGCAGGTGGATTTTAACACTGAGCATTTTCATCTAAATAATCGCAACCTTTAGTTCTGCTTCTTTTTATGCAAAAATACGACGACACTCTATGTGAAAATATCAGGAACGATGAAACTGCATTAGCGCAACATGCAGGGGCATAGCTCCGCACATTGTGCGGTCTTGCTGATTGCCAAGCGACTGCCGGAAGGTCACGAGCGAAGAAGGAAGAAACCGAAATCGAAATCGAGTCAATGGCTAGGCGGCAATTAGTAGCCAACCGCTACTTTAACCGTCTCTGTTGGTTAATTGCCCTAAGGCGTTGGTACTTAAATTTTAATTAAGGCGATTTACGCCGCGCCAACTAGGCGAAACTTGTCAATTTTTGTGAAATGCACGTGGAGTAGCATCTGGAATTGCCGTTCGACTGTGACAGTATTCGCTAAGCGGAGGGAGATGATTGGCAAGAGCCTGTCACGTGGGTGGTCACCCACCCAAGTTCAGACTCCGAGCAAAGCAGCTTACGCGTGCAATGATAAATCTTGGATATATTAATAATTATCAAGTTTTGAAACATGTTATCCAGATTGGAATAATTAAACTAATATCGCTATCTAAATGAAGACAAATGGCACAACTGAGTGCAACAGATTAGAAACCAGTCTGACCGGTGCTTATATACACACGTGCAATTCCGTGATTACGATTAAAATTTGATGCCGGCAAACTGCGTGGTGTGAGCAATTACTATTCTCACAATGCCAGAAAGAATAAAGAACTTCACTAAAAATTTGTAACATTTTCCGCATTCCAAGCAGTAAGAATTTAAAAGAAAACCCGATTAACTTCGGATATCTTCATCATCCGGGTACTTTCCTCAATTTGCATGTCAAATATAAATAGTATATAGCGAATATAAAAAAAAGTATGGCAATACTTAACACTCTGTAAACGTGAACATTGATTAGCTAACGCCATCCTCGGCACGTAAATTTTTTTGTTTTCCCCTTTCCTCGCATAAGATAGGCATAATATGAATTTTGAAAATTTGGAAATGAAAGTATTTTTTTTGTTTCGCTGACAGATAGTTTGGGTTGTAGAACGAGATTTACTTTTTATTCATGAAAGATTATAACCGAATAAACAACTTTTAATGAAGATGGTGTAATATGTGCTCAATTATGGATAAATATATGACTGTGCTCCATATAATGTAGTCACCCAGACGAGAAAAGTGGTTAGTGATACTGATTGCCGTACAAAATGTACCCGGCCTCGATTCCTGGAAAAGGCATGGGTGTAAAATTGCCTGTGTCTGTATAGGAGGTGAGGGTTATGATCCTCCATATTAAAGTGACCACTGCTTCCGGCCTTAGCGGTGGCCAAAGACGGTTAGCCCACCATTGGGAAATTAAAAAAAATTCTATATAATGTTAATGAAGGAGTAAGCACGTGAATTCCTGCATAATTTTTAAACGGAAGATATAAGACTGTATTATATTCAATATGTGTAAATTTAAGAATGATTTTCTGTACGTCCCATTTTAGCAAAAACTTAATTTTTAAAAAATTAAACATGCAAAACCTACGCCTTACTGTAGTTGTTTTATGTCTAATTTCCCATTTCATTTTGGTATGCATCTTCATAGATGAATTCAAACTCTTATATTTAAAACACTTTGCACATTTGTCTCAAAGTTTACAATTCTATAACTATATAGTTCATAATTATCTCATCTTATGCTAAAGTTTCACATAATCTGAAAATTTGGTTTGCAAAAAAAAAAAAAAAAAAAAAAAAAAAGACCTGTTTGGCATCATATACACAGAAATTTCCTTTTGTTTAATTTGGAATCAGCCAGAAACTAAATTAATTAAACTACTGATCATTTAAGTAAACGTTTTTTTCTATTAAATATTTTAATGGACATTAAATTGTTATATTTAACAAGTCCGCTTTACTTATTTAGTATTTAAAATTAGTATTTTTAATCATTCATATTTTTCATTTAAAATGTTTCAGAGAGGATACATCCATACACCCGATGCCAGCTATACAATTCATCCTCTACCAGACAACGTAGTACAAAGGATACAAGATAACAAATATAAGAAACCTCACATCGTTGTTAGAAGAGAAATTTCTCCAGATACGTTTTGTCCTCATGGTAACTATAAGTTCTTACATAACGGTTATCTTTTTATATTTTTAACCTCAACATGCATCAAAACATTTTCATTTATCAGTTAACAATTAAGAAATCATTTAAACTTAATTTGGTTGCTTGTGAACTTTGTACAACAGAAGATATAAAATGATCTACAGATAATATATACACAGAGTAACTGAAAGTGCCATCTTAGGATAATTCATAATCATCTTTGTAAAGAATATTAATATTTAATTGTAGTTTATTAATCATAAAATTATACATTATAATTAATGTAATTATATATTATTATTATTATTATTATTATAAATTTATATATAAGTAGTAAATTTTATTCTTCAATAGTTGTCAAAATTCATTTAATTGCTAGAGCTACGTTAGGTAACCCATACATTGAAATCCAGTTCTAAGTGAAATTAAGAATGTTTATTTTGTAAATCAGTAAAAACTTTTAGTATTATATACGTTTAATAAATAATTTTAGCATTACTTTTAAAGAAGTGAACGCAGTTTCAACAGCTGCGCAAGTCCTACTAATTAACTAATCCTATTTCAGATTCCTCAGCAAAAATTTGTTTGATACAGTACAGATCGTTTATATATTAAATACTTAAGATTAAAACCGTATGTAGATAACTCTTCACCTCAACGAGAAAGACAAATATACTTCCCTCTTTACAGTAACATAATATTTACTCTTTATAAACTGAGTATTTATACTATTGTGCATTGTGTGAATCTTTATAATCCATATATTAATGCATGACTATAAAGGTTTAGTGGCTAATTTTATGATTGGCACCATGCCTAGTTTCTCGCTTGAGACAGTACCTCACTTACCTTATCTAAGACTTAAGCTACTTATCGATATGTCTTGGAAATTACCACAGAGACTGTGAAGGATGCATAGGATCCTTTTATAAGATAAAGACGAGATAAAGTTAATAGAAGGCTCGTCTTGTGCTTACGGAACCAGCCAGCATTTACGGCGTAAATCAAAAAGTAAGAGATTTGAAATTAAAACTAAGTTAATCGTAAATTAACCGAAAAGTTTACAGACAGAAACCGCGCAAGTTGGCTGAGCACTAATAGAGGCGTGTCAAGCCTAATAGAGGCGTGTCAGCGCAACGCTGCAGATAAACTGCTGTCAAGAGAATCAAGTAGCAAACGCGGCCTTTAGTAACACGCTGTAAGCCTACTATCTAAAACTTTCTTTTAAATACTATTTTTGTCTACTTCATTTGAATACGCGCGAACTAGAAATTAGCATTCTGGCAGGAAAATGCAAAGCGAGAATAACAGAAATGCTAATTATCATAAAATAACTGGTTAATCAAAATAAATGGATATTCCAAGACCCGTTTCCCAACATTTGCTTGCGACACATAAAATTCTATAAATTTTTGTAATAAATTTATATTAGCTTTTAGTATCTGAAATCATTAGCAATCAGTATCTGAGCAACAAATACTGACTGCTAATAATTTCTTTTGAGAAAGAGATAAACCACCTCTCCTGAAATTGTTATTAACCATTCGTAATAGATATTAAAAATAATGAATTAAAATTCCTAATGTGTAGCGTTTTTTATCCATGAGATAAAATTAAATTCGTCGTTTTCCTTTTAACAATTTATATGGTACAAACTATAATAAACAAAGCACTTTTATTCCATTCTCATTTCATAATTTTTATTAGATGTATTTTTAAACAACAATAATTTATCTTACTTTGAAATACTGAAAGCGTTGTTTAACTGTTATGTTAGCACTTCGGAAAAATAATCACTTTTCGTTGAGTAATGTAACGGAAGAAGAACCATCCACCACATCTCTAAAAACTACTCCAGCCATGGAAGAAGAGGATTCTTCGTCAGGGATGAATAAAACAAGGGAAAGACGTTCAACCGAATCCAAAGGCTCTGCTGTTATTGAAACAGCCGTATTCATTGACCAAGCGCTGTATGACCAGATGAGGAGAACTTTTCCAAGTGACACAGACAGACAATTATCTACGTTTGTTTTAACCATGATGAATGCGGTAAGTTGCATGATAATTCTGTAGCAGATAGCAGTCTGTTAATTATAATTGCAGCAGACAGCAGTCTGTCAATTACAAGTAATTGTAGTAGACAGCAGTCTAGCAATTACAAGTAATTGCAGTAGATAGCAGTCTGTCATTTATAAATAACGACAGACAGCAGTAAGTCATTTATAAGTAATTGTAGTAGACAGCAGTCTAATTATAAGTAATTGCAGTAGATAGCAGTCTGCCAGTTATAAGTAACTGCAGTAAACAGCAGCCCAGCAATTATAAGTAACTGCAGCAGACAGCAGTCTATCAATTACAGGTAATTGTACTAGACAGCAGCCTAGCAATTACAAATAATTGAAGTAGATAGCAGTCTGTCAATTATAAGTAACTACAGCAGACAGCAGTAAGTCAGTTATAAGTAATTGCATCAATCTAGTAATTATAAGTAATTGCAGTAGTCAGCAGTCTGTCAGTTATAAGTAATTGCAACAGACAGCAATCTGTCAATTATAAGTAAAGCCAAAATTTTAATCGAATTGCAGTTTAATTTTCAAAGCATATTGCTTTTGATAATTTAATTTTGAGATAAATACAGAACTATCTTTTCTTTAAACATAGTTATTTATGGATTTTTTTTTCATGCGTTGTTTTGGATACTTCAAGATTACATTATTAATATTAAAATAATTAAAAGAATTGTTTCAAAATTTATACGTATATATCTTGTGACGAATATATACTAGGACAAAAATTAGAATTTTGTCAACAGATTTTGAATACTTGAGGTAAACCTCAGATTAGTAACTCCTAAGTAATTATTTCATTCATTTTCCTATTAATGTTTTATTCATTTTGTTATAGTTTTGCTCCCTTTTGATTTTTACTTGAAGTAAGTTCCTCACTGGCTGCACCTATGGCATGGCTCTGATAAATATAAAACTATAATCTAAAAATTTTCAAATAAGCATTATATGTGCAAAGGTAGTGTTGTAATTTAAAGTATCAAAACAAAAGACGGAGTTATTATTAATCTACTATAAACAATTTAAAAAATTTTTATTTCTGAATGTGGTGGAAATTCTAGTTGAAATTAATTATTTAGAAACTATTTTTGTTTCAGGTACAACGATTGTTCCAACATTCTTCTTTGGGAAAATCTCCAGATATCCGTTTAGTTTTGTTGGAAACTCTGAAGACACAGCCTCAGGTAAATCCTTTTTAAATATAATGATTCATGGATTTCTAAAATGCAGTTTTACTAGCGGCTCTGTCATGAAGACCTGTATTTAAAGAGTCTTTATCACCTAAATTTGTACATTTAGTTATTTTAGTCTCTATTTCATAAACTTACTTTCATTAAGATGACATTTATATTACTAAAGAAAGTAAGAAAGCAAAATATCTTAAATTTAATCTAATATACATATACCAAGTTTCGAAATATCACATGACCGGAGAAAGCCGGTCTTGGCGCTCAGAGGGTCAAGAAAATTTTTGTAATTTATATATATGTATAAGTTTGATATAATATACGTTAAGATACATAAGTTTGATATACAAAAATATAAATTTAGTAAATATTCCACAACCCGTAAACTATAGAGGGTTCTGCAGAAAAATGTCACAACGACTCTGTAAACGAACGATACAATAAAAATAAGTATGTTAAGCTTCTCAAGTTACCATGGTAGCAGAGATTCACATCCTCCAGGACAATAAGAGATTTATCAAATATTAGAATCGGTTGTAAAATGTTCCGTTTTATAGTTAATGACATTAAAAACGAAATCCCACGCTATTATAACTGTAAGCATAAAGAAACAAACCAGTTGTGTTTAAACCTTTCAAAAATAGTCAGCTATCAAAAGCAACGGCTTATTGAATTTTTAAAAATAATAAAAACTCGGAGATGTTGATCGCAATCAAATGTTTGGAAAATGGATCTAAAAATATCAAAAAAAATTAAATTATGGAACTGATTAAAATGATGTTCGTCGAGAAATCAGATATTTTTATTCGTTAGATTGGTCAAAAATTCAACATATCAAAATCAATCTTTCATCGAAATAAGAACGATCTAGGTTTGAAATCTTGTACCAAAATACGGTCTAAAATGTCAAAATATTAAGAAATTCGAGCAAAAATTTATCTTAAAATTTGTAGCACGTCCAAGTGGAGGGAAACTCATCGTGGAGGGTGACTCGTTTTATATTTGATCCTGATCTCAGTAGTAGCATCAAGTTTAGCATTCAGTGTTTACGTGGGTTCAGGAAAAGTGTGTACACTTCAGTATAAAGCCTAAAGAAAGATTCTCGAGAAAAATAATACTAGACTGCGCCGTAGACAAAAAAGGCAATAGTTCTAACCAGTATTTTTTCAGGAAACATTTTAAATGGTTTCATTTACACTCATGTCCATAAATTAAGGATAATTCGGAGCCACGCAGAAATCGAACTCTAAAATAAATATATCACCTATAAAATCACTTCACACATCTTCAAGAATCATATGCAAATTTCAGAAAGTAACCAGATGACACCGATGGTACGTCACAATGATGAGAGTGTAAGAGAGAGATATATAAAGAATACAGGCAAAGAAGTAAAATTGTTCGCAGGCGCTTTATAAGCATTTCAGTGCAATAACCGAATAGTTATGACACAAGGGACGCATTTGGATGGTTTTTTACGTGGTAGAATTATCGGCCGTCTGGAATGTGGGCGTACCCAACTGGAAGTATCAGACGAACTTGGAATTGCCCAGAGTGTCATCTCCAGGCTTTGGCAACGATTCCAAGATGATGGTAATGTGAGTAGACGTTACGGTACAGGTCGCCCCAGAGTTACAACGCCGAATGAGGACCGGCATTTGTCAGTTACTGCCAAAGAAACAGGCGGAGCACAGCTTCAGACCTGTCTTGTCAGCTCTCTTCAGCCACGGTACGACAATTTCAAGGCAGACCATGTACAGACGCTTAGGGCAGATGGGTCTATATGCTCTTGGACTTGTCAGATGCGTTCCACTTACTGCAACTCACTATCGCCTGCGGTTAGCCTAGAGTAGAGAGCATGCATTGTGGACACCGCAACAGTGGGCTTGTGTGATGTTTTTCGACGAGTCCAGGTTTAGCTTGCAGCCTGATTCTCGCTGGACTTTCATATGGAAAGCTCCAGGTACCCGTTACCACCAAGAAAACATCATTGAACGACACCTTTACGGTGGTGCAGGAGTGTTCGTTTGAGGTGAAATTATTCTGGGTTCCAAAACTGACCTGCATGTTCAAATTGGAACCATGACAAGCCAAATCTATCGGGACGCCATTGTGGAACAACATGTACGTTTGTTTTGGGGCGCCATGGGCGCACAATTTGTGTTTATGGATGACAACGCCCGTCCTAACCGTGCAAACATCGTAAGCGCATGCCTTCAATCGGAGGATATCACCCGTCTGGACTGGCCAGCATTCTCACCGGACTTGAATCCAGTAGAGCACGTGTGAGACATGCTTGGCCGACGATTTGCAGCCCGTCAACCTCCTCCTACATGTCTACCAGAACTTCGGAGAGCATTGCTTTTTAAGTGGTGTAATATCCCCCAAGATCAGATCGATAATTTGATACTCAGCATGCCTAGGCGTTGTACGGACTGTATTGCATCGTCTGGGAGACATACAATGTATTAACAATCATACCAACCATGTAATATTGGTTTTTTGTATATAGTGTTTTTTTTTTAATTTGCTCCAGGGAGAAAAAATCGCTAATTGTTTTAATAATATCAAGCATATAGCATCTTTTTCTGCTCTTTAGCTGTTTAGCTCTTTTTCTGTTTTAATAATATCAAGCATATAATATCAAGCATCTTTTTCTGCTCTTTTGTTTAATAAATAAGCTTTACAAATAAGTCAAATTTGTTTTGCTTCTAACTATTCCTTTGCCTGATTTTGCATTATCCTTAATTTATGGACATGAGTCTATTTAAAGCAGTGCATTAAAAGAGGTTTAATCTCTTTAATAAAACATCATCACAATTCAGATATTTTATTTTAGCCGGCATAAGCTACTAGCCGTTATATAAAATATATTGCTAACTAGTAATAACAAGCAGAAAACTAATTGTCTCTAAATCGGGTAATGCTCCTATGTACACCGCGAAAAAAAAAAAAAAAAAAGGAGGGGGAGTGGACAGCTCTATATCTCCCGTTCTACTGGGCCGATTGACGAAATTCAAATTGCGTTTTTTTCATGTCTCGATAGAGCGACGTAGGATATGTATTAGATTTATATATAGCATTGTTCTAATATAGATATTTTGACACAAAATCGGACTTTTTCTGAAGCAACATACGAATTTTTTTTCTATATTTCAATTCTACGACTCAAATTACGCCAAACTACCAGTTTTGTAAAAATCGCACGAGTAGTTTATTTTATTTGTTAGTATCAAGAAATAATTTAATTATTAGTAAAAATAATTAATTTTACTAATTAATTACCCCTTTTTAAGTGTTGGTGAAAATAAATAAAACCCTATACATTTACGGAAATGAACAAGTTAATCTTACTTTCCAATTAACATTTTATTGCGGGAAGACTGCAAAGAAAATCTTGAAAAATTATCGCATTTACCCTATAAACTAAGGCTCAATAAAAACAAAACTTACTAAGCTAAAACGTTAAAATAGTTTAACAGTACTAAAATAATGGCGAAAGTTAAATTTAAGAATTCAGTAGAAAATTCAAAAATCTTCAATTTGCCTAAAAATATAAATTAATTAGAAATTAATTACTGTTTATAAAAGAATATAATCTTAAGAATGTGATTTGAGAAGTATTTTAACCAAAAACTTATCTTTCATAAGGAGTTGCATCCGTCGGACAATATTGATACTTACCTCACTAATTTCTGCATCTGGCAACATAACAGACGTCATTATGGAAGAGGAAAGTCGCCTCGGTGGGATCACGCTCTGCTACTGTCTGGGTAAATTAAAATAGTTTCGTTTGTTATCTTTTTAAATCAGAGTATTGTTTAAATTGTTTATGTTTGTTGTATCTTAAGTTTTTTAATGCAGAGATTAAGTTACAATTATTTTATTTTAGTATCCTTTAAAGTTATATTTCTTTCAGAAGATAATATTGTTGCGTGCGTACGGATTCGTTACTAAATGAATGCCCAAGTCCGATGAAAAATGAACAAAAATTTATTATTATCACAACAAAAATGCTTAAATTTTCTCAAATTATCACGCAGTATTACAATATCTCACAGTAGTTTTCTTTTAACTACTCAAATGTCCAATAGAACGTAATTCAAAACAGCTAAAGAACGCTAATCCGCGAATTCGCTACAATCAACAACAGTAGTTTTCTAAACAACAACAAATTAAGCAACTACTACAAACTGAGATGTTTTCCTCCTTTTATAAGATTTTAAAATCACGCGCTAGAATTTTCCAGCACTTTCTCGAAATCAAAAAGAGATATTTATTTATTTAACGCACGCGCTCTTGTATTTTTAATTTTTCCGGCTTAGCTTTCTTTTAATATTCGTCACGCGCTGCACTGCGCGAGAAATAAAACCATTTAATTTATAACTGAACTAACATTAGCTTTTTAAATACCAAATTCGTAACAATATTGTTTAATTTTTAACGACACATCTTACATATTATTACATATGTTTAAGAGCAACTGATTTTAAGGCTGATGCAATAAGTTATTCTTAACGTGAAGTCTTAAATAAATTTTAAAATTTTAACATTAATAGTTATTGAAATAAATAAAATGCAAATACTATTAACTATCACTTTATGATATTTTAAGAAGTTTATATTTAGTTTTCATCATAAATACTAAAGATCGTGCTTTTAGATATCTTTAAAAAATTGCTGCTTTGAACTCCAAACAATTAAAATAAAAATATTTGCAAAAGAAAACAATTTATTTAACCTTTATTCGACTTTGCAAAATTAAATTACATGTAAATTAATGAAAACTGCACAGTTATTGCAATTTATAATAATGCATAAATTTTAATATTTGTGTTAGCAATGATTATCGTTTTTCTATTTCTGTTTTTAATATTTTCATATTTTTCTAACATATTTTTTTAATAAATTATATTTCACTACTGCAATAAAAATTTACTATTTTCTATGTTACTAACTAATCTATAACAATATGATAAGTAGACTAGACTAGAAGAGAAACACGCTAATGTGACAATCAAAATCGTAAAAAACAACCTTATATTTAGCGTAGGTATAATGAAACACTCAATCGATTTCGAGGGCAGCTAAAGGTCCCTCCTCATCAGGAGAAAGAAATACATAGAAAGAAGAAAATAGGAGAAGGAGTCACAGAAACACGTAGTGCTTATCAGCACTGCACGTGGTTATAACTAGATTTTTAATCAGAGTTGCACTGGCCGCCTACTTTTACTGAGCCAGGCTGTCTGATCAAGCATAAAGAAATATTAGCGAAGTTAAAATAGGGAGCGAGGGGCAAATGCACATTACGCTCAAAATCTGAACTTCAAATAATGGAAAGCAACCACTGAAACGGATTTTTATACCCTCTGGTAGTACCAAGCGCGAGGAGGTAAAGCCATCTATCGGCAAAAATAATTGAATTAAGATAGTAGAATTTTAAAGGCATTAGGAAGGACTGGATTGGACTTCAAATCATTAACTAAACTTTCTAAATCTTTGTGAATGTGAAAAGCCTCAAGAAAATCCAATTCGCCTATGGAAGAAGCCTTTTGGATGATTTTTGCAGACCCAAAATCAAAATTATGGTTAAAAAGTCCAGCTATGATACGCTATTGAAGACTTGTTAATTTCGCCTTTTTGACATAAGATTCATGTTCCTTGATACGAAACTTCAACGCTCTTTTTGTTTGGCCAATATATCTTAAACCACACTGACATGATATACTATAAATTCCCCAAGAATTCAAGACAGAAACGCAATCTTTTAGAATCGAAGGGTGAATTTTATTAATAGGGGAGAGAAACCGACTTGAAAATTGAATTTCTGGAGAATCCGTGCAATTTTATAGCTAACAGAAGGATAAAATGGAAGCACGACAAGGTCATTAATATTATTTCTAACAGTGGAATGTCTTCTTTGATGGGAATCTGAAAATTTTTTGACGGCTTTATCAATAATCACGGGAGAAAATCCACGGTCAATCGCAACTGCTCTCAAATAATTAAGTTCATTGGTAAGCAAAGTGTTTAAAATAAAGTGATAAGTGTTTAAAATTCTCTTGTTAACGCTTAATCATAAAGCAATGACTACTAAATCACTAATCCAATCAAATCATAATTTTGCCTCTTCTTCTTCAGAGAACAGTTTCCACATGTGAAGATTTTCTTTTATCTATGGGACATAAATGAAGATCGATTGTTTACAAAATATAGAATTAAAATAGTTAACTGGTTAACAAACTATAAAATTACGTATTTTAATATAAATATAGCTTTTACCATCAACTCTCAAAAGCCATTTAAAGATTTGTCGATTACTGTACGAAAACATTAAGTGGTATCAATGATGAGAATTTACACTACGAATATCAGTAACTCTATTTTCAAAATAGTTATGACTGGTAAAATGTTATTATTTAAAAATAAATGCCAGTTAACAGCTACAATGAACGGAACTTTTCTACATTTGCCATCCCCACGTGAAAAGCATTTGTAAAATAGGTTGGTTTGGTTTATGTAATTACGGCAAAGCCTCGAGGGCCATCTGCCTAAAGGGAGGGATGCCTAAGGGGTGGATGACTTTCTAAGGGAAACTGGCTCGTATACTCTTTACACATGGAAAAATCACGAAAACGCCCATGCAGCTACCCGTTCGCGGGATTCGAACTTCGGACCGAACTACCAGTGTTCAGCTGGTGAACCTCACTTGTAAAACAGCGTGGAAATTGCTAAAAAAATAGAATAATAGAATAATATTTTTGAATTTATGCATCACAATATTTAGACCAAGATTTTCAGATCCAAACTTATATTCAAAAGTGCAGCTGAGTGTAATGAATTTGATACCATAGTTAAGTAAATTCTGAATCAAATGCCCCCAAAATCTAAAGAGGAATATTTTATTGGATTATTCCTTCATATGTGCTGTAATAAAATAAAATTAAACCTATATACACTCACTTCCAAAAGTTAAGCACGAAGAGGAAAATGCTAATTTCCGAAAGCCAATCAGAATTGAAGAGGATGCAATTCGCTGCAGAGGTAGATGGAAGAATGCAAATATGTTAGGTAACAGCCAACCGCGCTTTCATGTCAAGAAATATGCAAAAACGGCAGTCTTATAAGAAGCCAGCTTTATGAAGAGTTACAGATGTTGATTGTAAGTGCTGATAGAAGGTGTTTAAAACTTTCGTACAATTTGTTTTCAAGACATACGTGTTTCTATGACTTCCAGAAGACGAATGGAAGATTCTGAGCGCTGGCGTGCTGTTGGGCGCATTGAAGGACAGTCGATCACACATGTTGCTCTTTTCTTCGGCGTTCATCATTCTGTAATTTCACGTTTATGGAAACAATTCCAAACCACACAGACAATTGTCCGAAGGCCCGTAGCCGGTTGCCCAAGGATTACAACCCCCGCGGAAGATCGATATATTGCTATTGTAGCCAAGCGGAATCGCAGAGCGACCTCCACACGTGTGACATCTATGGTTACAGCGTCCATTGGTAAGGCGATATTTGCAGCTACTGTATGCCGAAGATTACATATGAGTGGACTGTACGCCCAGGTACCTCCAGTTTGTATTCCTCTATCCGTCCAATCAAGAGGGGCACGATTACAGTGGTGCCGGGAACATGTCAATTGGAATGTGTCTGATTGGGGCAATGTCATGTTTACTGATGAGTCAAGATTTGCTCTGGAACCAGATGACAAGCGTATAAGGATATGGCGTGAACAGCGAACACGCAATCAGTCCCAAAACATCACGCATTCCGAGGCGGAAGCATTATGGTGTGGGCAGAGATTTCATTAGGATAACGCACTGACCTGTACATCTTTAATAAAAGGTTCTTTGACTGCTGTCCGGTATCGAGATGAAGTCCTAGAACCCATTGTGAGATTGCACGCTGCAGCAGTTGGCTCTACTTTTGTTTTAATGGACGATAATGCACACCCCCATAGAGCTGACTACGTCGATAACTACCTGGAGAGTGAGGGGATTGCGCGTATGGCGTGGCCAGCATATTTGCACGACCTTAATCCTATTGAAAATTTTTGGGATGCTCTCGGCTGTGCTGTATCTTCACATTTCCCAACTCCAGCCCCTCTTATTGAGCTGGAAACTGCTTTACAAGAAGAATGGCGATTGCTTAATTCTGTGGTGGTTGACCATCTAATTGAAAGCATGGTCACAAGGTGTAAACTTTTGTATACAGATGAGGCGGGATCACATACCCTATTAATGTCCTTTTTTTCATTTTATGCTGTTTATTTTCACTTTATACATAATTCTGTTTAAGTCTCCAGTATGTCATTATCTGATAACTTACAAAAATTTAATATTGTTTTCATTTCTGTACATAATTATTGGTTTTGTTTTATGCATAAATATATATGCTACTTTCCTACCGAATTTTGTGTCAATCAAAGTATTTGTTGATTTTTTTTGCATTTTACATCTTCGTGCTTAACTTTTGGAAGTGAGTGTAGTTAGGATATTTTCATTTATTGTTTCTTATATTTTTACTTTTCGCTTTGCACATTCGGAAAAAAAAATCAGGTTGAAATTAATACAAATTTGACTCTCCAAATACTTTAATACAAATCTTGCATCGATAATTCATTCCTTCTATCTGATTTAGCGTACAAAGGACAGAAACAGCTGTTGCAAAAACAAGCACTGTAAGGGACCAATGATAACACAAGAGAGGAGAGTGAAAAAAAGATATACTGGAATTATAAGTTACTTCTGGAAACTGAAACTTCTTT